CTGGTTTAATAAACATCACTCTCACCCCCTAGGCTCGTGAATGTTTTCAAAAGGGACTGTCTTTCTATATCTCCAGCACCTAATACAGTCCTAGCACAAAGGATACCCTTAAAAAATGATAAATGAATGAAAGAATAAATGAATGAATGGACACACAAATAAGTTTGTACTTTATAAATTAGAAGATCTTCATGCTTTTCGTGTCCTTGGCATTTATTTCTTTGGGAGAAGACAAACAGGAAAGGGCAGGAAATAAGGAGACTGGCATTTAGTAAACACTTGCAATATGCTGGTTACAGTGATGCATTCTTTACACATGCTTCCTCTTTTAATTCTGACACCGTCACAGAGGCTGGGAGAGAAGGAACTTTCATAGTTAGAGAGTGAGGTTCCTTTCCATCAGAGAGGGCTGCCTCCTATGCTAAGATCATACAAAAGGAAAGCTCTGTTTTACAGAGAGATGTCCTTTGGGGAATTAGGCTGGGGGTCACCCCCATGCCAATGACATTGAAGTACAAGGGCATGTGGCCAAGGGCCAGAGAGAGGCTCTCAGAGCCAGGTGTCAGGAGACCCTTGGAAATAGACCTGTGACGCCTTCTGGGCTTGTTTCCTCATCAATGACATGAGGGCAATAGCCTACATCCTCTCTAAGCTCATTTGCCACTCCTTGACTTCATGTTCTAGAGAATTTTTCTCTGTTAAATTCATCTTATGTTTATTTGTGGAATGAATGAAAGAATGAATACACAAATGAAGAAGTGAGTCATCCAGCGAAGTCTCTGAAACATCTTATACCATCTTGCTGCCCCTAACCTCCACCAGGGGTACCATCACAGCTCCTGGCTGCTAAGGGACCTTCTCGCTAATCGGAGGTCCTCGTCAGGCTCCTGCTCTCTGCTCCCTCCCATCTATGGCCTGCAGGATACCAGTGCCTGGGGTAGTCAGCAGTTATTCTTTTTAAAACTGAGCATCCCTAAAAAACTGAGCATCATGTGGATGATCCAGCATCCTTGAGATGGGTTCCCTGGCAACTTGGAAAGGAGAAAATACTCAAGGGTGGGCCTCTAAGAGTACTTCTTGAGCCAGTCCCCAGGGTGGTGGGGGCAAGGAGGGTGCAGCCCAGGCCACACATCAGCCCCCGACCAGGATGTGCCGCTGAGACTCAAAGACAGTCTCTAAGCCCCTTTCCAGCTCTTCTATGCCTTGTTATTGGCTTCTTGGAGGTGTGTACTGTACCGGGGCTGTTACAGCAGAGAATGGTTTTCCAGACTCATCCAGAGAGAGTTCCACCTTCAAATATCAGCCCCTTCCCCAGAACCCAATTCACTGCATTTCGGTTGCATGCTTACATGTTTATCTTCATCACTGTGCCCTCCCCAGCCTCCAAGGCCTTAATCATCTTTGTGTCTTCCCAAGTTCCCAGGCTCAGAAAGCATGTGGTCAGTGTGAACTGACTGGCTGAAGGGACAAATACATATACGGCCCCCTTTCTCTTCGACAAGACCTCGAGAAGTTGGTTAACCTGTTCAAGGTCATACAGCCAAAGACTGGTTAGGGGAGATGAATTAAAACCAAATCAGACCCTGTCTGATGCCCTTAGGGGTATGGGAAAAGGTGCTTATGGTAATATAGCATCAACAGAACACCAGATAGTATGCTATGTATATTTTACAGACGCAACACCAAGGTTCAGAGAGGTGCCCTCTGCCTACATTGCACCTTGCTCTTCCCACTCACTCACTCCTGCCTGAGTAAGAAAAGTGCATTCCTCAGGCTCCAAATTAGAAGTCACTTTCTTTAGGAAGGCTTTCTTTCGCAATCTCCCAAATTCAGTGGGTGCCCCTCCTCCACTGTCTCACGGCAGAGCTTCTGTCCCTGCTGGCACTAACTGAATTACTGGTTGTCTCTCCCACATCAAACTTTAAGATCCTCAAGGGCAGAGGGCAAGCGCTGTATCTTAAATGTATTGAACTTTACCTACTGCTAAGTCACTTTAGTTGTGCCTGACTCTTTGCGACCCTATGTACTGTAGCCCACCAGGCTCCTCTGTCCATGGGATTCTCTAGGCACGAATACTGGAGTGGGTTTCCATGCCTTTCTCCAGGGGATCTTCCCAACGCAGGGATTGAACCCATGTCTCTTGTGTCTCCTGCACTGGCAGGTGGGTTCTTTACCACTAGTTTCATCTGGAAGCCCCACTAAGCAAAACGCCGGGCACACTGGGAAGACCAGTAAATATTTGTGGGAGAAAAGAGGGAAGAAAGCAAGGAAAGAAGGCTCCCAAAGCCACAGAGCTGGGAAGTGGGGAAGTTGGGTTTGAATCCAGGCCTGCCTGCTTCCAAGGACTAGACCAGAACAGACTAGACTACCTCCATGAAAACATACAAACTCCCCTTAGAGTAGACAGCCTCTTACTGTACTCTTGGGGCTTTATCTTTTGTTAGTGAATGGATCTTAAGCTTGCACAGGTCAAGGACAGCTTGATCATATGTGATTTTTCCGGGATGCCCCCGGTCCCTGGAGCACAGAACACCACACGTGGTGTGTGCTTTATGCATAACTGTGGCTTAAGCTGACTTATGTTCAATCCATTGATCAGAAGGTGACTCAGATCAGAGAAGAGCCAGCCACTGGCCCTCAAGATGGCACAAGGCCTGTGGGGTGGGAGTGCCTAGAATGATCAAGGCACTGAAACTCCGGCTGGGGCCAAGTTTATCTAAGTGTTTTAAGACTAAAGAGGCACATGTACGTGCATGCACGTGTGCATGCTCAGTCGCTTCGGTCATGTCTGACTCTTTCCGACCCTATGGACTATAGTCCACCAGTCCTCTTCTGTCCATGGGATTTCTCAGGCAGGAATATTGCAGTAGGTTGCCATGTCCTCCTCCAAGGGATTTTCCTGACCCAGGGATTGAACCCGCATCTCCTACATTACAGGCAGATTCTTTACCGCTGAGCCACCGGGGAAGCCCGCAGAGGCATACACTGATACAAAATGCAGTGTCTTATTGCCCTCAGGGGTTAGGAGTGGCTTCTGGAGTTTAAACTAAGTTCATGATTATATAAGACAGGCAGTTTCCCTGGGAATAAAAATAATGACATGGAGAAATTTTGTTTTTAAGTTTGCTTTGTCCCCCAACAAGAAGTTTATAAAAGATGTAGTGTACAGAATGCAATGAAAATAAGAAGTATTCATTCAAAGACCAGGAAACATGTTTTCTCTCTGAAAATCTCAGTTCTCTCTTGCACACCCACTACTACCCCAAGATCACACTTTTCTACAGTTAGGGTTTCTCTTCGATAAAAAATTTTAGTAACTTTTTATGTTGTGCACCACATGTGACCTTTGGTATCACTGTGGCCTCTCAAGGCAGAGTCTGGGAGCGGGGACATTACTCGCCTAGGAAGTGGGAATGTGGTTTGAGGTGAGCGCTGCTTCTGCTTCCCCAGGGGACTCTGGGTAAGTCCCAGCCTCAGTTTCCTTCTCTGCGACAAGGGCACGAAAAGGCCCCTTGGCTGACTCCTTAGGCCACCCTGAAGATCTACTGAGACACTGCCTTGGGAACATACTTCAGGTAGTAGGAGGGACCTATCAACATAAGTAAGGTAGCACATTTATCTAAACATCAGAAAGGAATGAAGCTTTACAGGTAAATCTATTATCTAGATAACACAAACCTTCCTTCCTAAGTGTAAAACTGTACTGGATTTAACCTTTGGCAATGGCACTTGTATTTTTAGACTAGCCTGTTCCCTTTTTGAAGCAGAGAACACTGGGCTCTTTGCAAAGACGCAGGGTTATTAACGACTGTCTTGAGGGAAGATGGGGGCTATGAATTTGTGTTATCCTGACATGCTCAACACTGACTGTCCTCTGCTTTTCACAATTCTGGATCTGGTGTTCTGGAAGAGTGTTTCTGTCTTTTCCTCCCAGGTAAGCAGTCATTTCTCCCTGCTAGAAAAGTGGCAGCCTTTCAGATTTCCCCTGACTCCAGCTTCTAAACCACATTACATGAGAGAGAAAGTGAGAGTAAAAGGCCCTTAGTTGTGTCTGACTCTATGTGACACCATGGACTTATACAGCCCACGGAATTCTCCAGGCCAGAATACTGGCCTGGGTAGCTGTTCCCTTCTCCAGGGGGTCTTCCCAGCCCAGGGATCGAACCCAGGTCTCCCAATTGCAGGCGGATTCTTCACCAGCTGAGCCACCAGGGAAGCCCAATTGCATGAGAAAATCTAAAAACCTAAGTTTGTTAAGTTCAGTTGCAGGGCAAGAGCCTATCGAGTTTTTCTATGAGCACACCAAAGCAGTTTTATGCATCTTTTACATTAATCTTCCTAAGGTCATGTGCCTCTCTACTTAAAAACTCAGTGTTTCTCATTCCTGCCAAAACAAGCCCATACACCCCCGGCTGGCGCAGGTTTCCGGGCCTTCCGTCACCTGTGCTGACTACACATGCGGTCTCTCCTCTTAGTACTCGCAGTGTTGACTGCTGCCCTCCGCCGCCTCTTGTACCTTAAAAGCCCACCCTTCGAGGCCCACCCTTCGTGGCCCACCTCCTTCCTGGAGTCTCCCTCCTCTGAACTCTCCTCTCATCGTATCCACATCTTTCCCATGGCGCTGACCACTTTCTGATTTAAACTAAGACATTTTCCCAGAATCATGTCTAACTCACTTCATTATCCTAATACCCCCTTGGAGCTGAATAAATGCATACATGTGTGGTGCCAAATAGGTTTCCGGCTCCTGTTCTCTGAGGCCCCTCTCCCAACTGCTGCCCACGGCTGTTCCAGATAGCTAAGGCTGCTGCGTTCCAAAGCTCCTGTCAGATTCACTCTGAGCGGGGAGGGCCTCTCTCCTGGGGGACTGCTGAGTCGTGACTCTGCCCTTCCCTCGCCTCAGGGTCTGCCTCTCCCCAGCGCCCTCCTGGGAGAGGAGTCGGCACAGCAGCCCCCCATGGGGGTGGCAGGTGGCCAGCGGTGGGGGGGGTAGCACTCACCACTGCCCAGCCTCAGGAGCAGCACGTCCTGCAGCCTGCGGTTGAGGTCGCGGAGCTCCTTCATCTCGGACACAAGCGCCCCGTACTCCTTGAGCTTCTTGGCCTGCTGCACCAGCTGCCTCCGAGTCCGCTCCAGCTCCTGCTGGAGGTGGCGCATCTCCTCCTGCTGCTGCTGGTAGTTGCGCAGCAGCTCCTCATACAGAGCCCGGGGCACGCCGGCGTCCTCCAGACTGTCCATGTCCTCCGTGCCCGGCGAGGCCTCCACGAACACCTCCTCCGGGCACGTGCCGTGGCCCAGGCTCAGGCCGTTCTGCTTCTCCAGCCGGGCCACCACTGCCTCGATGCTCTTGTGCGCCACTTCGCTCGGCTTCCGCCCCTCGGGTCTCTGTGTAGGACAACGAGAGTCAGTTCAGGCAAGGGCAGCTGGGGCCGTCTTGGACTGCGGCTCAATATGTCCCCAGACAATCCTAGAATCACAGAACCACAGAACATCAGTGCTTGGAGAAACTCTGTGCACACACTTAAGACAAAGCTCTTTATTTTACACATGGGGAAACAGAGGTCCAGAGTGGGAAAGTGTCTTGCCCCAAGTCACCGGGTCAGTGAGCAACAGAGGCAGGACTCAGGTTTCCCAGGCCAGCGCTTTCCCATCTCCGTCACACTGCCTCTTGGATGTATCTCATACCATGACTGCCTGCCCCCACTCCCCAGCCCCCCACCCACCCACAGGGCTCAGGCAGTGATCTGCTCACAGTGGGTATTCAATGAGTATTTGTGGAGAATCCATGAGAAATCAGTCCAGGCCTAGGCATCCCAGGGGGTCACCAGTCAAATCTTTACACCAACAAAACATAAAGGCCTCTTCTCCCCACCTCACCCCCCATCCCAAGAAAGGGCATTCCACCAAATAAAGTTTTTCTGAAGAATGCTCCAGTTGGGAAGGATGCTAAGGACTCTAATCTGGAGCAGGAACTGTGTCTTATTTTCTGTTTCTCCACTGCCTACTCAGAACTGGCACCCGGTAGGGGCTTGATAAATGTTTACTTAACTGAAAAGTTCAAAGAATACTAGTATTGGAAGGTTCTTTCTGTTTAACTCCATCATTTTACAGGTGAGGAAATCGAGGCTCAGAGAGGAGAAGGACTGTACTCAGGGTCACATGCTGAGCTAGCGAGTCAGACCTGGGACTTAAAGCCCAACTTAAGAGCACAAGGCTCCTTCCCCTACCCCTGCCAGTCTCTGCTTGAACTCTGGCCAAGCTAAAGCTCAGCATGAACTGGGTAGAGAAAGGACAGTTTAGTGAGAGGAGAACTATCCAGGACTACCCAGGGGCTGGGGCTTTAGCTGCCTGAGGAAATTCCAGCTCAAGTGGACAAAGTTTTCAAGAGAGGGAGTGGAAGCTATAGGACCAATTGAATTCTTCACCCAGGGCAGGAGGGCTAGGGACTCTCCTGACTGGGGGCACTCGTGGGAAGTGCAGACAACCAAAGACACAAGATTCTAGACAACTTAAATATGTCAAGTTGAGCCTGCCTTAACCTCTCAATAAGCTCCTGAAAGTTTTGGAAAAAACAACAAAAAAGAACCATGACTCTGGGATTAGGTTACATGACAAAATCCTACCCTGTTGTCTTCTCAACTGGGATAAAGTGCTACTAGTCTAAATCAATCCATTCATTAAAGCTGTAATGATCACTTTAGATACCCATCTGCAGTGCTACACTGGGACACCCCCAAGGGCAGGGACCATGTCTGTCGGATCTCTATGACCCCAGGAACCAGTACAGGGCCACAGTGGGGGTGCAATGAATGCATGAACTCAACTCAGCTGAATCTTCTGGACCACGCTTCGGGAATGTCCTTAACCTGAGTCCAAAATCAGACTGTGGTCAAAGCGGAAAGTATCCCTCTTCTGCCCCCCTTCCTCTGGGGCAGCCATTGCGCGGAATAAACATCTGGTTTACAGGACAAGCTACTTAGCAGACTTCCAAGTAAAGGCTGGAGGAGACCCACTAGGGCTCACACCAAAGGAAATACAACTCATGCACAAGTTTTTCTTCTAGCCTAGGATCACATTAACCCTTCTGTGTGAACCTGGCACACCCGCCTCTGCTCATGAGCCCACTCCTGGCTGTCAGGGGGCAGCCTGATGGTGGCTGGCTCTGACCTGCTGCCCAAGAACAGCCACCTCATATTCCTGTAGCCCAGCAGCAACCTCTCTGGAGCTGGAGGCCGGAGGAAATGCCCCTTCTAAGCCCTCAGTGGTGATGACACTGCACAGGCGGTCCAAACAGGACAGTGCTCCCTGGGCAGTCAGCTGGCACAGCCAACTCCCACCAGCTGGCCCAAGTCTCTCACCTTGTGAACAGATCATGGCCTATGACCCCAGGGGACATTTACATGGGCAGAGGAGGCCAGACTGGAATTCTTCAGCTATCAGAGATATGAAAAATGCTCCCCCATACTTTCAAAAAGAGGAAAGATTTTGTTACCTTGATGTGTCTAAGCTGTAAATCTTCTTCCCCATAATCTTTAACCTCCCCATCTTCTTCTACGAGATTGAGAGAAAGTTTGGGGATTTTTATTTTCTTCTGCATCACACTGTTTTCAAGGTCAGATTTGTCTTCTAAAATGTATACCAAAAAAATAAGGTTCATTATGGGTCAAAATGCTCAAAATGCCCACAACCTCAAATGCTAGAGAGTGACTGAGGCCAGACCAGTTAAAGAGGAAAAGCCAACCAATCCAAGACATGTTCCCTCCTTCATGCAGGGCTCTTGAGAGCAACAGTGCAGATCAAGCTTGAGATAAAGGGTATATGCTAAAAGCACTATCATACAGAGCATTGAAATAGCACCCAATGAATGTACTGAGGGGTTTTCCTAAGTATATCTTAAAGGGTAGCCTTTTATGGAATTCTAGAATCTTGGAACTGGAATGGCCCTTAGATTGTTATGTTTTTAACTTAACTAGCACATAAATTCCTCAACAGTCAAGATCTTTTTAAGCCAAAGGACTTCCCGGGAAAACTTGTTGGGTTTCAGCCAGCTCAGGTACTAAAGAGCAGGAAGGGATGAAGCCTCTTATGAAGATAAAGCCTGGACTGGAGCTGAGGTGGAGCCTCCGCAGAACCCAGACACAGGACAGACTGAGTTAAGATAGTTATAGGAAGAGGAATGAGTAATGTTCACTGCCTTCTTACTGATATCAAATCAGGAGACAACAGACTTTGAGGGGCCTCAGTGACCACGTGGTCCAACTCTCCCATTTTACATGTGAGGATGGAAGGAGTGTGATGAGTGTAAGGAAGAGCCAGGAAATGGAAAACAGGCCTCCGGCATCTCACCCAGTGCTTACGTGTGACCACATCACACACTGATGTGCACTACAAACTACAAAAGGGCTACACACACACACAGGGATATTACTTCTCTCTTTCTTATTCTTAAACTCAACTTCAGATAATCTGAAAGAGAATTTTCAGATTTTACAAGCACTTGACTATTTCAGAATGTAGTCAAACGCCAAATCTTCCTAAATGGCCTTAGGAATGGAGCCCCAGATGGTCAAGCGTAGGAGTCCAGGCCTCAGTGTGAAACTCAGCTCTTCTGCGACAATGTGAGGAGTGGGGACTGAGGCCCCAGTCACGTGATCTCAAGTGTCTCCCCTATAAAGAAGTGTGGGGGTGACCGCAATGCCTCACACACCACACAGCACAGCACATCAATGAACAGGATGTGAAAACTGGTATGGCCAACATCCTCAGAACTGTCTTACTTCCCTAAGCAAAAGGTGGATAAAAAAAAAAAGAAAGAATGACTTCAGAAAGGTACAGAGTATAAGGGAAATGCCCAGGAAAAGAAGATGGTCTTTGTTAACAACCTCCTGATCGGAGATGAAAATGGCCTTTCCCACTAGTGAGAGAGCAATCCTTGGGTTCTAGTTTCACAAAAAGGCTAGTTCTTGTTCTCTTTGTACCTACATTTTATAGGTGGGTTAGGAATGAACAGCAGCAGGGGAGGTGGTCTTTCTAAAAGAATAGCAGCTCCCCTCCTATAAACCATTGTTCTTTCTTTCTAAATTAAAAAGCTGTTAAAAGTAAAACCCAACGAAACTGCTTCAAAGGAAGCTATCCTGAAATGGGATGGGTGGGTGTTTTCATAAGTGAAGAAACAGAAAGAGAGAGAGATACAGAGGATGAGAGGGTGGTGTCAGGACTTCTGAATGTGTTGAGGCAAAGCTCCTGGGTTAGTCTTCAGTTTGACAAGTTCAAGGGCAAAATTTTGAGATGTAGCCACCAAACTAGAAATGACAAGCTATGCTCAGCCTCCCTGAGCTGAAACTCTGAAGCTCAGAATCATGTTGGTATGGAGAGAAGCAATCCTTCAGACTCACAAAACTGGGCAATATTTGAACTGAGAGCAATTTCCAGATCATTTCACTCAACGCTTTCAAGATGGAGATGAGGTTCCAAATGGAAATCCATGCACCTGTCCACTAAACCAGCAGGCCCAGGGATACAGGAGTAGGACAGGCAGGGTTCCCATTCTGGAGAGTTCATGCTTGTACAAGGTCACAGAAATTAGGGCTATAACATGAGCAGTGTGAGAACTCAGACCTTGTAACCAGAGTTCAGCACTTTTCCTCCTATGCCTCAGCTTAATGTTTACTGAGAATTTACACTTCCAGATCTAGCTGGGGCCTTGGGCCACTGAGAATGAACATTGTTGGGGACACTAGATAAAAACCCGCAAAAAAGAAAAACCCTCTGATAAGACTGAGAGAAGATCTCAAATACTGAGTTTGAATAAGGGGACAGTAACTGCTCTAGGACCTCGGGGACAAGGGAGATCACTTTGGTCAGGACAACCATGGCAGGCTTTGGAGAAGTACCCTTTGAGGTAGCCTCCTTACTTACAAGGTGGTCTTGGGTAACTTACTTTACTTCTCTGATCCTGTATCCTCATCTGTGACTTGAAGTAAATAATTCCTACTCACATTGCCAGGATGCCCTGAAGATGATCAATTCTGTGTGTTAAGAACCTGAGTGAAGTGAATGGCACTTGGACTATCAGCAGTCATAAAAGGACAGTCATTTAGGGATGGCAAGAAGAGGGAAAAGGATAGAAATTAAAAAAAAAAAAGTAAAGACTGCGAAAGCATTTAGACTGGAATGGTTACAAAAGATGGTTCAGTTATAGGCAGGAAGAGAGGTAAGAAAGGAAGTTAAGGTGGCTGAGCTTGGAGAATAAACGGCTTTGAATGCCAAGATAAGAAGAACTAAGGTTCAGCCTGCAGGTGTGGGAAAGTCAAACAATCTGGATTCCAAGTCCAGTTCTGCTAGGTTGTAGGTGTGAGAAGTCAGGCAAGTTGCTGTGTCAGTGAGTATTACTGATCTCTTTCTGTAGAAATGGAGATAGAATATTGGCTTCAGGTGGGATCAAATTAGCTGAGAAAATGTGCCTTGAAGGCAACAGAGCCCTGTCCTTACAGCACATGACAAAATTCAGAGCCTGCTGCTGGCCCAAGGCTGCTGCAGGCTTGCACCAAGAGGTGGAGACCTGCCCAGCCACCTGGCTTGAGAAAGGTGACACTTGGCAGAGCTCTACTCCCCATATGATGACAGAAGTCCAACTCCCATCAGCTATGCCCAAAGCTCCATGCTCTTCCATCTAACGGGAATGCCGTCTCCTTTCCTCTCTGTCTGAAAAACTCCATCCAGCCTCCACTCAGCTCTTCTTTCCTTCTTCAAGGTTCCATTACATCTTGCACATACCTTCTCTGTAGCCTGTTTTCTTATTATGTTGCAATCATCTGCTTTGAGGTCTACCTTTCCCACTGGAGTGTGAATAACTACAGTGCAGGTCCCATATCATAAGCCTGGTCATACAATATAGGGACTCATCAAAAAATGTTTAATGAAAGAATAGTAGAAAGAAGCTATGCCAGTAAGCATCTGAAAAGATGCTCAAAATCCTCAGTCATTAAGGAAACACAAATCAAAAAGAATACAATCAGATATACTTCATACTTACTGGGATGGCTACAATCAAAAGAAAAAGAAAAAAGAAAAGAACAGAGGATAAGCATAACAAGTGTTGAGAAAATATGGACAAATTGGAACACTAATACATTCCTGATAGGAATGTAAAATGGGGCAGCCAATATGGAAAACAGTATGGTATTTTCTCACAAGGTTAAAAAGAATAACTATAGGATCCAGCAAATCCATTCTTAGATATATACTCAAGAGAAATGAAAACATGTCCACCAAAAACTTGTGCACAAATGTTCATAGCAACATTATTCATAATAGTCAAAAGGGGGAAACAACCCATTGTCCATCAACTGATGAATGGGAAAAAATGTGATATATTCATTCAATGGGGTATTACTCAACTGTAAGAAGAATGTATCGATTCTTGCTATAACATGAATGAATCTTGAAAACATTATGCTAAGTGAAAGCAGCCAGACACAATGGCCACATAATGTATGATTCCATTTATATGAAATGTCCAGGATAGGTATATCCATAGAGATGAAAAGTAGATTAATGTTTTCCAGGAATGGAGGGGGAAGGGGCAATGAGAAATGACCACTTAATAGGTAACAGGGATTTCTTTTACAGTGATGAAAGTGTTCCAGAATTAGATAGTGAAGATGGTTGCAGAACACTTAAGTGTACACATTTTAAAATGGTTAAAATGGTGAATTTTATGTTATGTCAATTATATTTCAATTAAAAGATAGGCTACCACTTTTAGAATGTGTGTTACCTACCAGATACCACTATAAGGCTCTTTTCATATACTACTATACTTCCCAACAACCCAGCAATTAAGAACTAGCTGCAATTTTCCCATGAGAGAACTGAGACTCAAAGAGGGCCTAAAGCCACCCAGACAGGAAGGCACAGAGCCAGGATTGATCTAGATCTCTTTGCCTCCCAAGCCCAAGCTCTTTTCTCTCTAAACACATGCCTAAAATACAGTAGAGCCATATTCACAAACGCTGAATGAATGAATGATGACTCTGGATAAAGACATCTAAATTCCTCAGTCTGAAGTTCAAAGCAGAAGACCACTTTAACACTTGCTCTCCTGACAAGACCCCTGTGGCCTCAGAAAACTCCCAGACAGAAGCAACCATTACCAAGGACAACAGAATGAGGCTGGCCAGACCCCAGGGCTTGAATGGGTTCTTTGAAAAGGTAGGATGAGCAGTACAGGAAGATGTGAGTGACAGGACTGAGTTCCAGAGGGAGCAGAAGCTGACAGTTTCCCCAGTCACCTGTCCCCTGACCTGGTCCTGGCTGCCCCAGTGTTTGGCCATGGGGATCCCGAGGCAGCTCTGAGAGCTAAGAACCTCCTGGCTCCATGCTAATGCTCATTAGTCTTCTCCCTGAGTTGTGCTCCCTGGACGAGGGTTTCCTGGATGTGCTCCCTGGATGAGGGCTCAAGAAGATCTAAAGCCTTCACTTGTCCTTTTCTGGGGTCAGTGGACATTCATTGACCCTTGTTCTGGGTTGAGCACTCTGCTAAGAGGTCTGTGTCTTTCAGATCCTTACAACCCAGGATGTACTAAGAATTTCAATCAGAATACAAGGTTTGACTTTCAGAGAGATGCTGGCTCATGTGGGGCAAACCTCCCATCTCCAGGTCTCCTTAATCCTCACCCTGAGCTAAAGGTGATGCCTCCCATCCATTCTAGTCCACAGATTATGGAACACTCAGTGTCACTGTGAGAAGTGGAAGGACTGGTTGGGAGAGGGAGGCCCAGGACTGAATAAAGGCAGCCTAGTCTTGTGAATTAGGCGGTCCTGGTTTCGAACTCCAGTTCTGCTACCTGCTGATAGTGGGAATTTGAGTAAGCTACTTCACCTGTCTGAGCCTCACTTTCATTATTTCTAAGGTTAGGATGATAAACTGTTTTCCAAAAGGTGATGCTTATAAAACACCAAGCACAGTGCCTTTCTTGTCCAAGGTGTTCAATGAATAGCAGCGATGAGGCTGTTCTGTGGGTTATGTGCTTGGCTTTTATCCTTTGGCACAGAGAACCACTGCAGGCATCCAACACAGATTGAGACATGATGAAGGAGATGTTTCGGGAAGATTAATGTGGCAGTGGTGAGCAAGATGGATGAGGTGTGAGGAGGAGACTGAACATAGGGTGACAAGAAGCTATAACTCTTGACTGGTCACATTAATGAAGGTGAACGATGGTGTGGATCATCTAAGACAGCAGGTAACTTCATGCGGCATTTTAACATGGCTTTGGAGTCTGTGTCTGGCTTTGCATGCCAGGAAACCACAGAAGAAATTAGCAATGGACTCAAAGGGATGAAGAAAATTCTCTATAGTCAACCCACCTATGCAAATGCTCCAAACTTAAGACCCAATAATCAGTTTTAGTGTAAACAGAAATAAACATGTAGCTTCTGAAGAGACAATCTTCTTTAACTCTGACTTCCTGATTGTTTTGTTTCCAGGGCAAGAAAACCACCAAGGATTTAGGCATCAACTATCTCCTCCTCCTTTCCAGCTTCTGTGCTATTAGCTAACCGCATTTCATCTATTCAACAAACATTTAGTAAGCATCTACTATGCACCAGGCCCCATGCCAAATTCTTTACTAACATCAATATATTTAATCCCCATGATGATTCTTTTGAAGCAGAAACTGAGGCTCAAAAGTGAAGCGGTTTGCCAAAGACATAAACTACTAAATATCAGAGCTAGAATTTCCAGTCAGGTCTGCATGACACTTGGACCATTTCTATTACCTAATGATCCTATAGGAACAGGAGAAAAATTACCAAGTTGTTGTAACTTCCTCAACTGAACTAAAAGGCACATATAAAATGACGAGTGTTAATATACAAGTGCCAGCCTTTTTCCTAAGCCCATGCCTACATCCAGGAAAATGCTGTGATAAATTCCCAAATTCAACTTAGCACAAGTGTGACTCAATACCAACCTCCTGAACTCCAAGCTTATCAAGACCACCAAGCCCTAAACAATCCCCCAAAGAGCCCCTATTCAAAGCCATAAAATGTGGTAGAAGCTGCTTCTCAAAAATATAGAAGAACTTGGTGTCTGTCATTCATCTAAGAGGGAGAAACATCCCATTAAACTTACCACTATTGAAAAAAAATGGAGGCATGGTAATGAGCAAATAATGTTTTAGAGAACAGGCTGGTAGACAGGAAATTCCATGCAAGTCTGTCTTCAAAAGTGAAGAGACCCCTGGAGAATTAGAAGTACAATTACAATGGGAAAGGCATTGTCCATTTTACATAAAATCATGCTGGATAATTAAAAGAATCAAATGTCAGAGTTTAATATGGTGTGGGGTTGTTGGTTATGATGAAATTCTGAAAGGCTAAACATAAACCATTTCACCTAGGCTTTGTCTTCCTTTAAAAAAATACTGTATGCCAGTTTAAAATTCTTCAACTGTATAAAAACCCTGCAAAGTCTATGTTTGCTTCAAAAACAGACATGCCACAGAAAAAGCATGTATATCTCTCATCCTCTGGCCTCTGTTTCTATAACATCTGAGGCAGACAAAATTCCCAAGTTTCTAGGACTGTATCTAATCAAGACAACAAGAAGATGAGTGCCCTGCTGTGGTAAAGCAGTAAGAAATCAAGAGACAAGGGTTTGAGGCATGGCTTTGTAACTCACTCTCCGGGTGACTGGTCACTTCCTTTCAATTCTCTCTTCTGTAAAACAATGGGGACTGGACTAGAAAACCCCAAGAGACCCTTCCAGCTGTGTGATCATTGGACAGCCACAGGGAATTCCACTTCTCTTTCTCTTCTGTACAGTGCTGGTAAGAGCAGATGATCCCATCCTTACAGGTGGGCTTGTCTGAAGAAGTGTCCTGATGAGTCCATCCAAAAAGGGAGAGAAGAACTGAGAGCAAGGTTTTGGTAGGTCTCCAGGCTCTCACTATCACAGCCTCCCAGGCCTGGGCACAGGGTTAGGGCATGGATGGAACTAGGAACCTTCAACCTGCTGACTCATTTGTCTAGCTACCCTCATGTGCTTCACCAGGCTGTTGCCGGGGTAATAAGTGGCCCCACCATAGGGTCACAGGTGGGAAAAACATGGGGTGAGATGGGAATCCTTCCCTGCGAAAGTCAAGCCCCAGGAGGATTTACAACACACACAAGTTAAATTTTAACCCTGTCTGTTCCTTGGTCCTCTAAATCGTTCCTTTCTACCATAAATGGTGGTTCCCACACACTGAGCAAGCTGTTCTCTCAACAGTGCTTACCATCACAGTCCTTATCAATTACCTACCTTTAATGAGTACCTACTATGTGCCAGATAACTCCCATGTTACCTTGCTAATAACACAATAATATAATGGGCCAGTAGCTCACGACTATCTCTATGTTTGGGCACCTGAAACTTGGAGAAGTGAAGTAATCTCCCTAAGGTCACACAGCTTGTAAGCAGAGTCAAAATTGGAACCCAGACTGCCTGATTTCAAAGCCTATCTTCTTTTAGTTCTCTAATACTTCCTACTTGATACTTAAGGAAGTGACCTGGGAGAGGAGCTCATCTAACCAATTCTCCTATCAAAAGGCAGGAGTTCATTCTGGAATGTCCACCTCCCCAGACAGGGAGCTCATCATCATGTTGGAAGCAGTGTTCATCTGCTCTTATTATAGTCCTCCCACCAAATCCTATAAATTCCAGTCTCTGGACCTAATTTTGCTTCCGGGACCCCAAAGAACAGGTATGATCCTTCTGCTACTGGGGCAAAATTCAGACATCCAAAACTACCAAAATATTACTCCGAGATGATTCTGTCTTCTCCTGCTTATATATTATTTAGCTGTCCTATCCTACATCTCACCAATAAGCTCAGAGGAAAAAGTGGTTGCTATGTAGTTATAAGAAACAAAAATAGGCTTAGATCTAGGATACAAAGCCTTCGCTCCTCATTTGATTTCTAGAACACCCATCTCTCCTGTTTATCTTTTGATTTTAGTGCATCTCTGGCTGCTTCTTCCCAGTTATCTTTTGGGGCTCTTCTTCTTTAGCTGTACCCCCTAAAAGCTGGTGTTCTAAAGAATTCTGCACCATTCCCTTCCTCTGACCCCCCTCTCCCTCTGTGACCCCACCACGCCCATGGTTAATGATGTCCACACTGGGATCTTCAGCTCCACTAGAGCACTCTCCTAAATCTTGGACCACACGCCTAATCCTGCTCCTAGAGTATCTGCCCAGATGTCCCACGGGCCCCCAAGATTCATCTTGTTTCAAACTAGACTCATCATCTCCTCTTCTAACCAACCACTCTTCTAGTGGGATCAGAGCCCAGATCACCACATCATCATCACACACATCACCATGATCAGGCAGTTCTCAGATCCTATGGCATCTCCTTCCTTAGACCATCTCAGAGCCAGCACAACCACTGTGACCTCAGTGTGGGTATTTTCCATAAGCTTCCATAAGTTTTCCATAAGCTTCGTGTATATGGGAAGACCTTAGCCCACTGCCTGGCACCTACAGCAGCCACTAAACGTTTGAGTAGCTTTCTTCTCCTGGGGTAAACAAAACAAGAAGCCCTGTCTCACAAGGATGTAGACAAGAGTATGTATATGGTATTTCCCAGCACTGAACCTGGAGCCTGGTGAGTACTAAATAAATATTTAGTGAATTGGTCCTTGAAGGCAAGAAACAAAGTCTGTTCCTCCTCCTGTGTTTCTCTCCAGCGTCCGACTGACCATCTAGTGTACCTTAAGAGCTGGGGAACTAACATGAACCAGAGAAAAGTTCTTCAGGGCATGGATGCTTTTCTGGTAGCATTTTAAAATGAAGAACACACATCTTCTTTCTCGAAGGAGCTTATAAGACAAAGCAGGTAGGCACAGTGGAAAGAGAATAAATCTTGGGAGCCAAAGATCTAAATTTGAACTCTACTTTTCTGGTGTGTTTTTAAAAATAAAAACCAGTATGCTCTTGAATAACAAAAACAACCAAAAAGAAACACTCAAAAGAGCAAGACCTCAGCTTGCATGGGGCAATTTTTTCCTTTCATCCAGTGAACCAGAATTCTGAAGTACTCTGCAGTACTTACTATTTAGTTGCAACAAATACTTGGTTCTTAAACAAGACAAATCACATCAGAAGGAACTTTCAATGGTTAACATTTCAGTAGAATCAGCAACAGATGACAACAGGCAAGTTCCAACCTTCGCTCCAATGTACATCAGCAGAACATGTCAAAACTTAAATTAAAAGTTTTCACTTGCTTTTTTAAAATAAATCCTTTTGTTGGCAGTCTCCCACTGATGACATGCAACAATCTTTGCATATGAAATCGCCTAGTCCCCTGCTTCGCTGCTAACTTTGTAGAAGTTCCAAAACATTTCTGGAGCAAGTGATCTATTTGGATCGACAATGCCAAGCTGGGACCTGAGCCCTGAATGAGCTAAAATTACCAAAGCAAGAAGAACGTGGCTTTGGAAGCTATTTCCCGCAAGTGTGGGGTTTCTTCTAGTCAAGGGAGAGATACAGAATGTCGACTTTTTCCAGATGAATAAAGTTGAATGAAACCTCCAGAACTGACTGCAGGTTTCTGCTCTGAAACAAATTGCTGTTAGAGTCCCTGTTCTCCCTGCTTCTTCTCCCCGAGCATAACATATGCACCTGACTTCCCAAAGCTGGTGAGTTCAACTTGGGCTGATTGGAGTGGACTACGTGCCGGGCACTGCAGGTGCAGAGAAAAGGAAGGCAGGTCCCTGTCCTGGAGGAGTTCACCATCTGGTAAGAAGACAGACACAGTCACGACTAACCAAAACAGGACACAGAATGCTAAGATAAGTGAGGAACAGCCAAGTCAAAGGAGAGCTCCAAGGAAGGAGCGTCTCCCATGGGGACAGAGAGTGGAACAGGGTGCTGTCAATGCATTTGTTCATTCCTCTATGACAGCCCTCAGCTCACAGGACTGCAAGCACCCATGTGTCTGCCCTTCCCACTCAAAGTGAGTCCATGGGCAGATGCCCATCTGACACAATGATTAACCCATCCTGGCTGACTCGAGGAGTGCCTGAGGGTGGGTTCTCAAGATGGCATGAAATACCATCTGCAGCCTAGAGGAAGCTGCAGAAATGAGGTGGCACTGGGGCCACTATGAATGCCCAGGCTGAGAAGCTGAAGTTCATTCAGTAGGCAACGGGGAGCTACAGAAAGTTCTACCGAGTAGTGACTAAGACTATGTCTTAGAAAATTACTCTGGCAGCAATTTGGAAAATAGATTGAGGCAGGGTGATCAATTAGAAGACAGCTATGCTGGTTTAGATGTAAAAGCTGGTGCAGGCCTGGATGTGGGCAGTGGGGGTAAAGTTAGAAAGCTGTACAAGATAAACTGCAAAGCCCCTCTAGAATAGGCCCTTTCTCTGGCCTGCAGTGCCTGGCTTCTCTCCATTTAGGCCATACATCGGGCCCCAAGACTATCCTGAGGATGGTGCCCATTTTTTTCTTTGTCACTCCGACAGACAGAAGCCCTACATGGCAGGGCCTGAAAAGTTAACTTTTGGTCTCACCTGGGTTGTGCTGCCATTTCAATCCTAGGACCTCAGACCTGTGGGTGCACTGGAGCATTTGCTTATTACTGCACAGGGCCTGGGGTATGGGAAGTAGTAAGGGGACAGATGACAACAAAAGGAATTTAGCACACCCGAATAACAGTAACGCAGCAAAAGTGCCTGGAGAGAATGGCATAGCATTTTAAGTCTCGGAGCTTAGAAAAAACCAGTTTTGGCCCTGTTTAAAAAAAAAAAAAAACATAAATTCAATATCATGAGCCCCAGGAGGAGACTGGATTGCAGTTGGATAATGGTTAAGTTCTCCAAATGGGTTGCTCTCACTTTCACAAGCTGTTTGGCAAGTAAATGAGAGTGACGAATGAGACCGCGTCCAAAGGTGAGCCAAGTCTTGAGTTATGTGAACCAGGAGGATGGGAGCTCTTCTGAGATTTCCTGAGGAAGATGTAACTTAGCAGGGAGGAAGGTGTGTGTGCTCTGTAGGAGGGAGGCTGTTAAGAGAAGAAGAGAAGAGCAGAAGGGGCTTGAAAATTCAGCGCTAAAAACTGCTCTTGAGCTCAAAAACTTGCTTTGAACTGTAAGCTTCATGGACAGTTCTCTCTTCGTTTACTCCTTCCAAGCTTGCTGTGTGGCCAATGGAAGCATCAGCTACGTTACAAAGACTTCCCAGTGGGCACCTGGCACTGGAAGACCTGGGTTCTGAGTCTGGCTTTGTCATTTGCGGCTATGCAGCTTAGAAAGGCTCAGAGTCCTCATCTCTAACAACAGCAATCTCCATCAACAGGTTTCTGCAGAGGACTAACAGAGATAATGCAGAGGCACAAAGCAAGACTGTCAATAAAGACTGTGTTTGTTTTTCCCCCTTGAACTGAAATCAAGGCTCTATACTGAGGTCTGACACACATGGAAACCACAGTGTAGACCAGCACATGCTAGAAAATGCCAAGTCCCAAAGCAGCTGGCTTTGACATTTCCTGATACAAGAAGAGGTACACTTGAAGACAGCTCTGGGTTGGCCTGGGCAAACAGCAATGAACAGACTTCTCACCAAAAGCTATAAAGTAGCCCCAAACTGCCCCCCTGAAACCTCGCTTTTGATGTCAGAGAGGGATTAATTACTCGTGGCTAACTGACAAAAACATAGCCTTCTCTGCCTCCTGCTTGAAGACTCACCTCCCCACATCAGGTCCCACAGCACACTTGTATCTACAACTAGGACATGCCAGAAGAAGAGCTCTTTAAGACAAGTCACTCTAAGCAATTCTCAGAGCCTCGGCATTGAAGATGGGGTTTCAAGACACACAGGAGAGTTCTTCCAGGATAAACGAATTCCCAAACCCACCCTGGCCCTTCCATTCGGATCTACAGCCAGAACAGCCCCAGTTTAAAAATTAACCAGCTGAGGGGAATTCTAAATACGGTCTAGCCAACCTCAAGTTCTTTCTCTTCTCCCCGCAACCCCCTCCCCCGCCCCTTTTCTCTCCTCAAGGAAAACAAAAACAAAAACCTGAAGAGAGGTGGGGGAAAGTGCTTTTCAACTCACTTTGCTCAAGTTGGCACCATGCTTTTTCTCTGGATCTACTCTGCCAGTTTCCAGATGTTGCCTAGTTTTGTGGGTTTTTTTAAAAAAATTGTTTGTTTTTAATAATCCCAGAGATTTATTTCCAACTTGGAAGGATGAATAGTCTATACATTCAAGATTCATGGTCCTCAAACCAAAGATTACACTGTCTTACTCAAAAAGACTTCTGTCAATTTTCAAAAATCAGTCTGTAGGGGCTGCCGTCTCCCCCAGCAGCCTCTCTACAGTGCTTGAAGAGCCAAGCACAGTGTTAATATTTACTGAATGAATAAATGGATGAATGAACAATCTCTCAAAGAGGAAAACAGCCATCACACACTAAAACATGTACATACCACTGACTTCTTCTGACATATACCACTTCTCTCCTAGGGCCCTTCCAGATCTAAAGAGTGTAACAGAGGCATCAAGAGCATGCTTTCCTTTCTTATAGTCAAGGGGAAGCAATGGTTACAACCTAGTTATAACTTCCTCAGGGCAATTCTGTACTCCTGGGGGAAACAATCTCCACATCCCTTCCCTCAGGTAATTAAAATCAAGCAAACAAACAAAATAAAACCTAATCAGCTACAAAGGTTTCCCTTTTCTCTGCATACTTTCCTTCATTCTGTTTTTCTGGCCCTAGGCAGGCCCAGGTGTTATGGGTGGCTTTATACCACTGTGCCCCAGGGCTTGTCAGAGAGGTGGTAAGGACACAGTCCTGCCAAAAGGGCCCCAGGTGCTCATCTGTTTCCAGCTTTTCTTCCACTCCTCAACTCTGGCAAACCTACTTTCCAGAGGCAACAGGGGGTGATAGAAAGGAACTTATCATGAACTAGAGCTCGAATGTGCTGCTAATTTGCCACGAGACCCTTGGAAAGTCACTTCTCTGTTTCAAGCCACAGTTTCCTTACTTGCCAAGTTTAAATATGATAAATGCTGAATTAATCTTTTAAGCTAAATGAAGAAAGCTCAGGAAGTTGGAAAAGATGGGAAAGGTCTCAAACTACGAAATAACAGCAGTATCAACTCACCCCTGGTCTTCTCTTCGCACTGGAGGGCAGGGTGGCTTACTGTCTGCTCACTCTGAGGTGCACCCTCCTTACTTACCAGCAATAGCTAGAAGGCTGCTCCCCAAAACAGAAGTGACACTTTCCTCTTCTACTCCTGTCTGTACCCAAGCCTCCTAGAACTGGCTGCGAAAGAGGATCTGCTGACTTTACAAAGGAAAAGCCGCTTCAGTATGGCAGAAGGAACTTGGTGAAGGAGGCGAGGGGGCTGGTTCCTTGTCCAACTCTAACTGAACCTCAGCATTCTCACCTGGCAAATGGGGATGCGCCACCTGCCTTTCCTATTTCTCAGGGCCCTGGGAAAGCAGGAATGGGAGGTCTAGTCTTATCCTGGCCCTGAAGGAGGAGGCTCCTCGAGGAAGAGGTGTGGAGGCTAAGGGATGCTAAGTGGCACTCTTTACCTCCGCACCTATTCAGGGAGGGGCAGGAGAGAGGCGCCCAGTGCCCAGTGATCAAGGCCTCTTCATCCCATCCAGTGACCGCCCGGATGGGACCAGGATGTCACAGCGCTCCTCCGTGAAGAGGGGCTCCCACCTGGAAGACTCTGACGGTATCAAGCCTTGCCTCCTCGGGCAGTACTGCGGGCCTTAAAGGGAGAGACAGACGGCTAGCGAAACTTAAGGAGACGGAAACAGCAGAGAGGGAAGGAAGTGAGACAGAGGGAAAGAGAAGGTGGGCGAGAAATGAAGGTGCCAACAGGCAGAGAGAGAAAGGGAAAGTGAAGTAACCAGAGAACAGAAACAGAAAAGAGTGGGACAGACACAGAGACTTGGAGACAGACTGACAGCGCGCGAGTTGTCCGGGAGGCGGGGAAGACAAAGGGGACCATCCCGTATTTTTAACTGGTCTGGCCTTCTCAGACACCCCGTTCCCCACAAAGAAAAGCCTATGGGACGGCAGGAGGGGGCCGGAGCGAGCAGCGACTCCCCCCGGCCCCCTCCCCGGCTCCCGGCCCCCGCCCGGTGCCCGGGTCCCTCCCGGCCCCCTCGCTCACCTGCCAGCGCCAGGATCTGGGCCTTGTGGAGCAGCAGCGCGCCCCAGTCGCGGGGGGCGCGCGGGGGGCTCTCGGGCCCAGCGCCCAGCTCCTCCGGGCCGCGGTACACGGCGTACACCTTCTGGTTGTCAAAATCCAGCCGCGAGCGGGGGCTGAAGTCGCGCACGCACGACACGGGCAGCGCGTAGCAGACGTTGTCCTCCAGGAACCGCACAAAGGCGTACATGGTGGGCGCGGGGGGCGGGCCCCGCTCGGCCGGTCAGCCCGCGGGGCGGGCGACGGGGGCGGGGGCGGCTCCCCAGGGCCCGGGCTCCCCCCGCTGTTATTGTTCCTGAAAGCCCCGCTCTGCCAATCGGCTGCTCTCGCCTGGGCGCGGAACCGGGAGGGCGGCGGGCGGCGGGCGGGGGGCGGAGGAGGGGGTTTGGAAGCGCACCGCCACTCGCGAAGTCAGACCCGAGCAATCACAGCCGGAGTGCGATTCGCACAGGCAAGGGGAAAGGGCCGAGAGACTGCACTGCAATAATGATAATAACAATAGCCTTGCAGGAGGGGAAAAAAAATGCATTGACTAATCATCAGAGTCGCGCTGCATGCAGGATTCGTCGCTTCAACAATCGCGCTACAAACCAAATTGCATGGCAGCAAAACTGCACTGCAAAGGAGGAGAGTGCGAACGAAGAAATGCAGGGCGAGGGGGCAAGCTTGTTTGGATTCCTGAGGGTAAACTTGCACTTGCAAGCAAGCAGAATTTTGGAGTATTTCAAATAATTCTCAGCACTCCCCTCAACTCCTTTAGTTCGCTTTTTTTCCCTCTCCTTTTTAGCAGAAATGGCCAGCTCCCCTGTGGGGAGGGTCAGTCAGCTAGAAATATTCCCCCTGTGTTGCC